AGTAATCAAATTATAATGTATTTTGTAGTTCCTTTTCTTTTAATTCAGCTTTTTTATATTTAACTCAGCCCCCATTATTTCTAATTCTAATTTTTGTTTTGCTTGCATGTGTTGCATTTCTATTTCATACTTTCTTCTCATATGTTGTAGCCCCATATTTTTCTTTTCTAACTCTTTATTTTTTATTGTCTAATATTTCTAATTTTTTATTCCCAATTTTCTCATCATTATAATCTTTACTGTTCTTTCTGTCTACTCTTCTTCTACTAAGTGTACTTAAATATGATGCTTTTTTTTCAGATAACTTTCCAGCTGATGCAAGGACCTTTCGTTTCTTCATTGACGTTTGTAACATTGACGTTGGTTCCACTACCTCAATAGCGATAACTTTTACCGTTTGTTCTAAAAATTTCAAATATTGTTATTTTAATAATTTTTGATAGAAATTTTATACACAATTTAGAATATTACTATTTTTTTTTAGAAGAAAATATAACAGAGTACTTATAGACAGTATATTTTTTTACCTTCCTCTCCTGTATTAACTTCCATAGATTTAACAGCGCTCATTTGTGACTATATTCCTATGTCCATTTGTATAGTTTCTGCTGATTTGTTAACTTGTATGCAGTCTTGTTGACAAGTTTCTACATTTATTCTGCCTTCCGAACCAGGCGTAACTTCTAAAAAATATATAGATATGTAGGTATTAAATTAGGTAAAATGCTCATAGATATTTCACTTTCTTACCTTCGTTTAAATAATCTGCAGAAGAATCAAAAGTATTTGGCAGTGAATGAAATTGATCCCCTACTGTTTGAACAATTTTTGAGTCTAGATTATCACTTTTCGGGGTAAATAAACCACCACCAGTTTTATATGTTTCTTTCTGAAAATAGGTACAAATAGAAATAAATATACAGATGTAATACTAAAATTATATTTAATTATCGAAATAATTATATTTAATAATTTTACTAACCTTGTCACGATACATATTTTTCCTTGCTTTTTTCTTAATGCCATCATATAAAGCGTGCAGCTGTTTTCCAGTTCTAATTCCACTTTGGCAAGTAGAATTAAATTGTCTGGCTATTGATGCCCATGCTTCATTTTTTAGCTTAACGTTTGAGCCATCAGTTTTTTATTTTCCACAATATGCAAATAATTTTGCACAATTTCGAACAAAACGTTTTTGTCAAAAAATTTCGTGCACGTTTTATATTTTCTTTATTTTCCATTTTACTCTGTTGACATTATAAAGAAACTTAAAACTCGAACAGGTACGTTTGTAAATACACGATAAATGTAAATTGTGGTTATGTGGTTATCAATTTTATTAGACCGATAGTGGCGCCATCTACAATTATTTCTTGAAAATGTCTTCTTTCATAAATGGAATCTGCAAACACTTGTGCATTTGCTAGCTCCCTCTATGATTATTCCAGGTACTAAGATATCCATTCAACTGTTATATATTCAACAAAATTTGGAAGGCATGCGTTCAGAAACCAATATAAAGTTATCGGTGTGATAAATTTATCTACTCGATAGTTATCGAATGGATTGCGCCAAATGTTGAGAAACCGGCCATAATACATTAATTCCATATTTATTTAATGCTGATATAAAATAGCTCTAATTACTTCAATATTCACCCCTGTCCGTAGGGCCGCCGAAGTACTAGCACGTCTAGTGCTGTGTGTTAAAAAATTTGAAATATCCGTTCCACTCTTTTGTAATACTCTTTTAACCCACCTACTTAGAGTGCTGCAACTAGCGGAATTATGAGGTGTTTTCCAAGTCACAAATAATCTATCTTGTCCTTCAGGTCTAATTGTTTTTTGAATATAATATGATAAATTTCTAGCAACACATAGGCACATTGTCTGAAAATATGCAGAAAACCGTTAAGGTTTGTACCTTTTTATATCCTGAAGTTTTAATCCTATCAGGTATCCGTATTTCCAAAACATTATTTACTTCTTTTATGTTCTGAATACAAATTTTTGAAAGTGTCTATCCTATGGGAAAAAATGAGAGCTAACTAATGAAAGCTAATAGTAGGGTATTTTTACCGGTTGGAAGTATCCCCCCCTCCACTTTCGGCCTTGGGACGACCTTGAGGCTGAAAACCGAATACGATGGTATATGGATGACCTTGAGGCTGGAAGCCGAAGGAGATGGCGTAGGGTGGTAACTTTCATTTGACCTTTGCATTACAGTTAACCTTGAAATTACATTTGTCTGGTGTGAATGAGCAAGATTGTTATATGACCTTCATTTGATTTACGTTTAAACATTGTAGTTAACCTTGAAATTAAATTTGAAATATGTCTATCTAAATGGTATGGATAAATATTTTATGAGGGTGTGACCTTGTGAGCGAGTTCAAAAGACGAAAAATATCCCATTATGTGACGACCTTCACTTGATTTACGTTTAAACATTGCAGTTAACCTTGAAATTAAATAGTAGTTTTAATGTTGTGTACACAATGACATTGTAACGTGGTGCATTTGAATTGCAGTGTATTTTCTATATAAGAGAGGAGATCAAAGTGAAGAATTACAATTTCTTGTGTGCCAACCCTGCAGTGAGCGTCTACAATAGTGTAAATTCTGTGTAATTAAAAAAAATAAAAATGGGTCGATCAAGTACAATATCAAAAAAAAAACACCACGAGGAAGGAAGAGTGCAAGTGTTGGCAAACCTATGCCAAAGGTGACGCCGGAGGAACGTCAGCACTTTCAGTATTTTCAACAACCGCTTGTCAGCCAAGGTTGCTACACCACGACGGCGGCTAGTGCTATGGATGCAATAATTCCATCCGATGATATTCTATCAAGGCCACTGTCGGACATGAGGAACAACACAATCATGGATTTGTCCCTCATCAGTGACATTTTATTACCAAACTCTCCAACGGTTAAGAAGATGGCAACTTCTACAAAATCTGTTAGGTCTTCGAACCGCGGAGAGATTCAGGGAAAAGGAATAGCGTCGAAGGGCAGCACATCACGATTACGGCAGTTGTTGCAACAACCAGCGGTTGCAGTAACGGTGCCACAAGATAAAGCTCCACCACCACTACAGCCGCCAATTCTCCGGTCACCACCCCTGGAAATCATATCAACGTTTGACGGTAATACCCCAAGGGCCGTTCAATTGGGATTAATATTCAGCAGGGCGTTATACGGATGCCGCGTTAGCGCGCGAAAAAGTACTTTAAATACGTCGCAAGTTTTTACCAAAACGATTTTCTTTCTATGTTTAACGAGTTATTACACATAAGTTTTTAGATTTAATTCGAGCATTCGTAGAAATGGCTGAATAATCGGGGCGATCGATATTGCAGTCCCGCCTACTTTGGCGCGAAATAAATTTAAGTTAAGATAATAAATTTATAATTATCTTTGTTTGGTGTGTAAAAGACAAAAAATATCACTTGACGTGATGACATTCATTTGAAATATGTTCAGTTAAAAGCTCCAGATACATAATACATTAGAATTTCACCTTGGGTGACTTCTAATGGATGGAATTTTCTATATATGAGAAAAGATCATAGTGAAGGACTACATTACGTTCAATTGCAGTGAGCACCTTGCAGTGAGCATTCAAACTAGCGCAAATATTGTATTGCTTTGTGATAATCCCAAAATCTCGTTAAACAAAATTATGACAATTATCTATATTTTTACTGTATCATGAGCAATTTACACTTTTTCTAATAATACGGAATTAGAAGCAATATATGCAGTAGGGTAGGGCGGGGCTAGTTGAGCAATTTTTCACTTGAGCGGATATAGCTCCTCAATGATAAATCTCAATGAGTTGTTATGCGACCTGATGGATTAGTAATTTATCCCTTAGCAAAAGTATCCATAGTAATTTATTGTTAATAAGTCAGATTTAAGAGCTACAGCTGTTTATGTCCAGAAGGTCAAACATGCTCAACGTACCCCATAGGTGAGGTAAGTTGAGCAGGGGTATAAGGCAAGTTGAGCACTAAAAATGTCTAGCCAAGCCATGGGTTCAATATTAACTAAAGATGAAATAAAATATCTGCTTGACAATCAGCTCTTTATTTATAGTCTTTTAGTGACAGCACAACAAAACTTAAAGTAATTTTCTTTGAATAATTAACCGAAACTAGAATAACAAAACATCAACGTATCTTAAGATTAACTTCGGGATTAGATTCAGTCTTTCTGTTTAAAATCAGACTTAAATATTTATATTTAAAAGAAAATATTAATAAGATCTTAGGAACCTAATGGTCATTGTCACTGTTGCAATTGACACAAATGAAAGTAAATTTATATAGTCTTAGTGACAGAACAACAAAACTTAAAGTAATTTTCTTTGAATAATTAACTCAAAATAGAATAAACAAAACATCAACGTATCTTAAGACTAACTTCAGGATTAGATTCAGTCTTTCTGTTTAAAATCAGACTTAAAAGAAAATATTAATAAGATCTTAGCAACTTAATCGTCGTTGTCACTGTTGCAATTGACACAAACGAAAGTAAAACCAGCACCTGGAACACATTTTGTATGTGCCCATTCCCTGCAAGCTTGACACTGGATCCAACTTTCTCCTGGTAAGCTTTCAGAATAGCCTTCGCAACAAATCAGACAGGAATAATCATCATCATCACTTTCCTCACATAACTGGAGTATTTTTTTACAGACACTCTTCTTTCATTTCTTATCCATGTTCTTCTTTGGCTTCTTAACTTTTTTTGTGGTTTTATTTTGCTGCTTTTCTGAAGCGTTCTTTTCGGGAGTGTCTGTTTGTATTGCAGCTTTCTTTTATCTTCTGTTAGTTTTAGCTGCTTTTCTAGGGCCATCCTTTGGGTATGGTCGTACAATTTCCGGGGAAAATACTTGTGTTAAATCGATCGTCTCGTTTTCTTTGTTGCTTGGACCAGGTTCGGGTTCAGCTTGGCTGGTAGATGCAGAAGGAGTGGGATTAGGTTCAGTGCTGGACATCACACCTTGCTCTGGATGTTTTTTTCCTGCTCGATAATTTCTGGTTCAGGACGATCGCTTACAAATGATGGTGAAAACTCATCCTCACCAAAAATGTTTGCATTATACGGGAAGATGCCCGTCTTTCGGAAATCGTTGACAATATTTATACTTATCTGAGCAAACGGCAACGAATCAGCGACAATTTTTGGTATGTCATAAATAGTAAGGGTTTTACCCGGGTTGTTTCGTAGCCATGCATCTTGAGCAGCAGCGCAATACTTTTTGAACGGTCCAAAGACTGACACATCCAACGGTTGTAATTTATGGCTACAATGTGGTGGAAAGGACAACATTACCACTCCGTTCTCTTTGGCCAAATTTAGTGTCTCCACGTTCAAGTGAGAGGAGTGATTATCCAACACTAACAAAACAGGGCGCTCCATGGACGGTTTCACATGTTTTATAAAATGTTGCATAAACTGATAGAATTCTTCGTCTGTAACCCATCCACTAGCATTGCCTGCTCCTATTCATTCAGGGGGACCACCATTAAGAAAGTGTGTCTTAAACTGTTTTCTCGGAAATACAAACATAGGAGGTACAGCATTTCCAAGAGGATACAGCAGTTACTACTGTAACGTTAGTCCCTCGTTCCCCAGAAGTCATGGCACCGACGTTGCGCTTACCTTTGGCAGCTACAATTTTATTTGGCTTCAGCACAGTGGATACTCTTGTCTCATCTACATTGCAAATGTCTGCCGCAGTAAATCCATATCTATCCATTACTTCCGCTAATTTCTCAAAAAAATTTTTTGACATTCTGCTTATTAAATTATGTTGCCCTACTAAGGCTGGTGGGTTCTGGTTTTCGTATGGATAACTCCGGATTTCGTTTTAAAAACATCGTAAGCCATTCTTTTCCGGCCATCTTATTTGCAGTCCAGCTGTCAGTCAATTTTTATGTAAAAATTGTCTATCAATTGTATTCTAATCTATTATTTTTAATGGTTATCTGCAATAATGAGATGCAAATAAGTAAAAAACACCTCTTTTTACCAATAAATTCAGGTCATTGTTGGCTTGCGTCAATTTGGTAATTTGTACGTATTATTATAGTTGTTTTCATAATTTTTTGTAATATACTTGATTTTATGCGAAATATGTATATTAAATCAAAAACACATCTTTTATTCGCTACCACTTGCTTCGCTTTAGGCTTTTATAGTTGCATACAAACAATTTGTACTTAATAAGTATACTAATTTTTATATGTAATTTCTGATGAATATTTGCAATAACGAGGCATATTTTTGACGGTTTTATGTAGAAGAAGTAAAAAAGAATATGTGCTTAGACCATAGATAAAAAGTCTGCGCTGGCAACAATGCCAAAGTATGTATCTAACGCTTTCTGCATGGGTGAAACGCTCAATCGTTGGAGCCTGCGCAATCTAGGTAGAGGGAGTTCGGAGTCAACAAAAAGGATCGATGCCAAAAGAAATCTCACATTCTTTCGTGCAGCTTCAGTGAAGCGAAGTTAAGTGTATCAATCGGCAGTAATATTCAGCACGTTTATAAAAATGGGTCGATTAAGTACGATGCCAAAAAAACTTGCTAGCAGCTCCAGTTCAAGGAGGAAGTACGCAACGCAAGTGTTGGCAAACCTATGCCAAAGGTGATGCAGCAGTGCCCAAGTGATGGTAAACCTATGCCAACGGTGATGCAGCATTTCCAATATTACAATCAACTAGGTGCTATCCAAGGATATCACACTATGGCGGCAGCTGCAACTAGTGCAATGGATGACATAGTAATTCCCTCCGATGACATGGGAAACAACACAGTCATCGCTTTATCCCCCATCAGCGACAACGAAGAGGATGACATCTTCTTACCGAAACCTCCGTCGGTTAAGAAGATGACAACTTCTAAAAAATCTGTTGGGTCTTCGAACCGCGTGGAGAGTGAGAGAAAAGGAATAGCGTCGAAGGGCAGCACATTACTATTACGGCAGTTGTTGCAACAACCAGCGGTTGAAGTAACGGTGCCACAAGATGAAGTTTCACCACCACAACAGCCAATTCTCCCAAACATAATAATATTAGATGATGTGATAGTACCCCTAGAATTTTCCCTAGCGCCACTCCCGGACGTTTCCCCGAAGTTTCTTCAAGGAGCTGAAGAAATGGTGACATTCCAAACGATAACACCCCAATGGAAGAAGAGCCATTCCCGGACGCTTCCCCGGAGTTTCTTCAAGGAGCTGAAGAAATGGCGACATTCCCGACGGTAACACCCCAAGTGGAAGAAGAGGAAGCGGTCCCGTACTCGCAGGCCGACGAAGCAGGTCATTTCAGGGTTCCTTCGATACTGGGAAAAACTAATTTGGAGGGAGGAACAAACTGAGGAAGAAGTCCGCATTCTGCGAGAAACTCTCGCAGTTAAACGGGAGCAGGTGCGGGTATTGTAGGAGGAGTTTGGGACAATACAATCAGAAATTAACAATAAAGTGCGAAAAGGGGATGAATGTGAAAAGACTAAAAACTTTGAATGGACGAATGAAAGCGTAAAGACTTTAAACTTTGAGTGGTCGAATGAAAGTGACACGTGTGAATGTGGAATAGCTTTAAGATGTATAAATATTTTGTATAAGAGTAGATTCTAAGATGTAAATATTTTTTATATAATTTAAGACATATATATTATTTTGTATCGTCCAAAAAATAAATGATCTTATACATATTAAAATATACTAAGTTTAGAAACAAAACACCCCTTTTTCTTCATTCCACCCATAAAACACATTAAACGATTCTAAACAAACATAATACATATATCATACAGTGCTTTCGAAAAGTAACGAATAAATTCATTATTTTTTAAGTTTAGATTGGTATACGATGTATCTCGTGACGAATTCTTGCTTTTAAATCTTCTAAATTAACCGGTCTAGTAACGTATACTTTGCTTTTTAAGTATCCCTATAAGAAATAATCTAGGGGTGTCAAATCAGGCGATCTGGCTGGCCACTCAATCGGCCTCCTTCTCCCTATCCAACGATTCGGGAACAGCTGATCTAAATAAGCACGGACAGGTGTTGCATAATGGGGAGGTGCACCATCTTGTTGAAAGAAAATGTCATTTCTTGGAAGATCATGTCCTTCTATATCTGGATATAAAGTTATTAGTTCAGGAATGAGGTCGTCTCGAAGAAAATCCAAATATCTTGCACCAGTTAGGTTGACGTCAAAGAAATAGGGACCCAGAATTCTTCCGTCGACTATACCGCACCACACATTTACTTTTTGGGGACATTGAGTGTGATACTCCATCATCCATCGGGGATTCTCGGTTGCCCAATAACGGCAGTTTTGCCTATTGACATAGCCGTTCAAAACAAACGTAGCTTCGTCAGAAAAAAAATATATTTTTTACGAAATTATTATCATTATTGCATAGCTCTTGCATTTGCTCTCAGAATTGATTTCGCCGATCAATGTTGTCTTCAGATAGTTCATGAACAAGGCATACCTTATAAGGATGATACTTTGCTTTTTTCATAATTTTGTGAACTGTAGACGCTACCATATTGAAATCAGAAGCCAATTGGTTAAGTGTTGAGTGATGATTTTCTTGTATTGCCAACAAAACATTAAGCTCATCATCTACTGATTTTGACAGTCGACCAGATTTAGGAAGATCACGAACATGTCCAAACTTACGGTATTTAGACTCAATATTGCTTACCATGCTTTGGCTAATGGGATGTCGATCAGGATGAGTTTCATTGAACAATTCAACTACTTCTTTTTGGGTGCGTATCCTGTGTCCAAATCCGATCATGCAAAGAATTTCAGTGCTTTCCCGTTCAGTTAATTTAACCATTTTATTTATAAAATGACAANCAAAGGCGGCAATCTCCACCATTTCCACTTTTTGTTAAAGCGCAAAAAACTGCTACACTCTTATTACTGCTTAATTCAAAGGAAGCATAGTTTCCAATGAAAGAAAATGCTAAACTACATCAGATTTTAAGGTCAATGTACCTAAATTTTTTATCTTTTCTGAAAAAATTTACAAAACTAAATGGAGAATGCCGTGTTTGATACTAACAGTTGGATTTTGTAAGATTTGTTACCAAAGGTTGCACTAAAATGAGTTGTAAAATAAATACCAAGTATTTTGGAATGGACTTACAGACAAAAGAATAAAATATTAAAATTAATTCAACAAAACGTATAATCAAAAATATTTTACTGAACATAATAATACACATTATACAAGTAGAGATGGTATTTCTTCAATAAATTCGCAGGTAGCTTCTGCCGTTTCTTCACGTTAGCCAATACATTTTCTTCTTCCTGACCTGGTTGCTCTGGCTTAAGAATTTCATTAGAGAGAATAGTTGTATAAAAACTGAGTTCCTTCAGAGATCTCCAAGTAGCCCCAAAGTGTTTTGTAAGAAGTTTGTCAACATCTCTAAGCTTCAGCGTATTGTCTTTTTGGGAACCACTTTTTATAATGGCAGGGTTGATCATGTGAAAATTTTTTCCCTTCCTTAGGACACTTTTAAAGGTTTGTAAATCATTTTGATAATACAATTCACCTCTAATCAAAACATTTCCAGTTTTACATTTATTTAACAAAAACCGTTTTGTATTCTTGAAAGAAAAATGCCATGTTCCCGTGGGTTTTAATACATCTGAGATGGTTTCTTTCCAATTAAATACGTTGCAATTTTGTCCCAAATGGACAACCGTCCCAGTTTTGGAAAATAGCTCTATATAGGTTTCTGGCTGCGTTATAACCTCTAACTTTTTGATCTCCTTCTCAATATTACCGAAAACCCTATCAGCAGGAAGAAATGAATGGCCAACTACTGGAAAAATCACTTCAAGATTCTGAATATGTTCTGGCACTTTCTCCGAAAGCCATTTGCAGCACATTCCAATGAGTGTCGTGTTCTTGTTTTGCCCACTGCAACCATCTGCCATCAGCCTGATTACAGTTACAGTAGTATCAAACTCGATTTTATTTAGTCTGTCAAACACAGCGGAAGAAACTTCATTCGAACCTTTTCCAAATTCGTTTTATGTCCAATAATAAGGAAAAAACATTTTGCTCGGTAAGTTTAGATTGAGATGTCCCCTGTACAATGGTGAAATTGTACAGATACAGTTGACTTGAGTAGTAAGCAGTTTGATCTGGGACCTTAGGGAGTATAAGATTCTTCTGACAATCGAAAGATAATGTTATCAAATCATCCCTAGTTTCTTTAAGCAACTGAAAAAATGCATTTGCTCTTCGCTTATGAACTTTCTTCTCAATGATTAAGGTATTCTTCTCCTCTTCATCTGTACATCTCTTAATCTTCTCAGAGAGTTCTATACATGTGGAACATACGTCGGTACGAGGAGTAGTAAAACTGAGGTTATACTTCGTATTGAAAATCATTCGAAAGTATGACGGCTTAACTCTTTCTTCTGGAGAACTCTGATCGTTATACATTTTCGACATTTTTTCTATAGACAAATCCGAAGACAAATAATGTCTACGTGATGAAGAACGACAATAATGAGATTCGATGCTTTTAAACGAATTAATAAATCTTTGGACAGCGCTTTATTTCCCTTCGAACTTTGATGTTTTCCTGTCGCCTCCTCTTTTCTCTGAAGGTGCTTCACCTGTTCTTAGGAAGGATTTCATGACGTATGATAGACGATGTTTCGTAATATGTAATACTTTCAAAAAACGCCTGTTGACATACCGGAACATGCTGTTTTG